GGTTGTCATGCCAATTGAGAATCCAGACTTTAGAAGCTCGCTCAGTGGGGCTGGTGTATACGTGCTATCACAGGCTTGAGGCAGAGTGTAAAATATAACGCCTTGAGTAGCACGTATAGGGTGACAACGATGGTGTGAAATTACTGAAACTTGCAGATAAGGGAAGGATTCTACGGAGCAAGAGGTTCTCTGATAGGACTCGAAGGGAGAGGATTGCGGATTAAACCGCAGCCACCGACACTCCCGGCAGAGTGGGAGGGATGAGGAAACCAGCGGCGAGTGTGAAAAGCTTTCAAATAGGTCAAGACAAACAAGTAAGAAATTGTGATATTGAAAGGGTGATACGAAGATATAGGATTGGTGAATAGCCCAAAACAGAAGGAGAGATACCACAACTGTTTAGCTCATCTTTGGTCAGAGGATCGACTTCACTTGTCTCTTTGCTAAAAATGGCAAGACTCACTGACGATGCCGGCGAAGCGTCTTGGATTATAGCAAGTCCACGGTCCAAACTGGAAAATCTCATGCATACTCTGTACTCCCGACAAGGTCTTCCGGCCGATATGACCATGTTGCGAAAACGAGGTCAAACAGCTTCTATAATACGAAAGGAGACCGCGACCATGCAGAGGGCAACACCATCCTGATATTCATACCTTCGATTAATTACTTTTGATGAGAATATGTTCAGAAACTATCAGTATTGTCTAAGTAAAACAATTGGAGTTCAACTACTCACCACGTAACTGGCATCGTAATCGATAGTAATAGTTGGTACAAGCAGACTCCTAAATATGTGAATCATAGAGGAGTTGGCCTTCTTGGAATTTCGCATCGCCCCATAACCAGCTGGCATCCGGGGCTGTGTGGTAGAGGAGTAACCGTTTGCCAACCTGTCCGTGAGACTTATGAAACTTTGGTGATGTCTTTGGGGGGCAAGGCGATGCAAAGTTTAGCGAAATTGTGAAGCCTATAATTGCATCGAGAGATTCAACTTTCAGTCGGAGTGTAGTCTAGCCGATGGCTGAACTAGCAATCATTACAAACAAACACTCGATGGTTGTGCAATTTTTCCCATCACTTCACCTCTCCGGCTTCTCGCTTTATCCTCTCTCACCACTTCGAGATTCTCCTCTTAATGCCGGTAACGTTTCCACAGAAAGTGTACAAATAAAATTTGCAAATAAATTCGATTGCCGCCTGATTTTCATTGTGTCGTAAGACGAGCCCATTCAGCGCTTGACTCGTTTTCCCAGATAGACAGGCTCTAACCACTCATCCTATGCCCGGCCTATACCCGGCCAAGCAACGACTTGTGTTGCCGCCTGCCTCTTGCCTCCGGAGGCAATCGATGACAGGTTTAACCCTGCCTCCGGCCTTGGTCGTCCGGTGCCAGAAAAGATGAGTCAGTCGAACTGCTGTCCCTGTCGAGAGAGGTTTCATTCTGACAAATCTGTTCCCACAACTCTGAGGCGATTGGACCGAGTGTGAAGTGATAGCAAATTGGGCTTACTAGAATCTATCGAACTGATGGACCGGCTTGCCAAGGAGTTGGGACCTGGGCGAAATTTGACAGACTCGGTTGCACATCTTCACTCGGCCCAGACAGCTTATCGGCCATTAAACTTTGTGATACACTCAAAATGGCTGGGAATTTTCGGACTACATTTCAGCATGTTTCGCCAAGAAGAAGAGACGCAACAATCACGAAATATTTCATGTAGAAGCATACATTTGTGGAAAGGAATTCTTGAATAGGTCTCATTAGAAAGCAAAAGAGGATGCTTGCCTTGGAGTAAAGACTATTGGGTTGTGCGAAGTAGTCCTCGGACAAATTTGGCTGTCCTGCCATGACATAAATAGACCGATCGAGAAGCTCTTTAATAAATGAAATCATAAGAACTTTGGTAAATTGTTGGCGATAAGTTCATTTCACACAAAACTGCATGAAGAAGAGATTTAAAGGTTGCAGCCGCTTGGCTTTACTATGAAATTCAGATGGATGCAGTCCACGAGATATCCTCCCTCGTTTCGTCCATTATCTGATGGACATCACCAGGATTGTAACTTATTATTGTAAATGTCTACCGTTACCGCTAGGTCCAAAAGATGTTTCGTGGACTGTGTCAACTTGAACGTCGTAGTAAAACCACACGGTCGCAGCACAACGCCAATCAGCCATCATCTTCTGGTGATATCAACCAATGAATCTCTTTTCCCTACACTTTCATACGAAATGACAGACTTTACAACAATACTATCTCAGGAAATTCATCGAAACCCAGTTACTTTTCGTATCTACTTCGTAAAGTATGACGTCTTAATCACTTGACAGACGAAAGCCTAGAACTTAAGCATCGAGGCTACGCGAAAATCCGACAGTCTTCCCTCCAAGTTAATCTGCCTTGGAGACAAATTTCTTAATTCTTTTCTGCAGAATTTTTCTTCGAAATGAAAAATTGAGTCACAGTTAATCACTAAGACTTTGTATCGAGTCCAGTAATGAGGTAGCTAGCGAGTTATGAAGCCTAAACTGGCCAAATAATTTAGTAAGAAGATTATACATCAGACCCATTTGGTGTAAAATCAAAATCAGTGTGATGTTTAGTAAGTGCAACTTTCCGATTGAATCCCGTTTTTTGTTACTGATTAAACCAAGAATATGCATAGATCGCTGTCCAGTCGTAGTAAAGCCACACGGCCACAGTAAAACGGGAATCAGCCATCATCTTCTCGTGTGATCAACCAATGAATCTCTTTTTCCTGCACTTTCATACAAAATGACAGTCTTTTCAATAATACTATCTCAGGAGATTAATCGAAACCCAGTTACTTTTCGTATTTACTTCGTAAAGTATGACGTCTTAATCACTTGACAGACGAAAAGCTAGCACTCGAGCATCGAGGCCACGCGAAAATCCGGCAGTCTTCCCTCCAAGTTAATCTGCCTTGGAGACAAATTTCTTAATTCTTTTCTGCAGAATTTTTCTTCG